TGCTTATGCTGCTGAGCTAAATCCCCAGCCTCGATACATCTTGAACTATAGGCACTAAGGCTGATCTTGACCCTGACTATCCCTCAGGAGGAGGAAAGGAGACCTCAGACAGGCTGGTCCAAAAAGCCCCCTAGGGCAACAGGGACTTACTTAGATTTTAGTCCCAAGTCTAGGTGGAAGACAACCTGACTGGCCCAGCCATAGATCACCCTCCAGTCAAGGCAGAACTCAAGCCGAGTGCCATGCTAGTTGCCCAGCATCAGTATCTAATCATTCAGGCAGCCCAGTGAGGAAATGAGCCACACTAAGAAAAACTGCAAACTTACAAGATTCTTGTTTCCTACTAATCACCACGGGACATGCCTTTTCTTCCTGTTAGAAAGACAGACACTGGAGACTTGGCAGGTCCAAGATCTCTGAGCAATCAGTGAGGCCACAATAACGCTATACCCCACCATTCCAAATCCCTACACTCTGCTAGGACTGTTGCCAGCTGCAGAGATGTGGTTTACCTGTCTAGATTTAAAAGATAACTTCTTTTACATATGCTTGGATCCAGAGAGCCAGCTACTCTGCTTTTCAGTGGGATTTTAGTCAGCACTGGACGATATGGCCAACTCACTATACTTGGCTGCCACAAGGTTTTTTTACTTTTTTTTTTTTTGTCTTTTTAGTTTTTATAGGTACCAGGGATCGAACTCACGACTGCCTGCTTGCAAGGCAGGCGCTTATGCCGCTGAGCTAAATCCCCAGCCCTGCCACAAGGTTTTAAGAGCTCCCCAACCGTTTTGGGGCAGGCATTAGCACAAGACCTCTGCTCATTCCCTGCACAAATTCTGGGATGTGCTTTGTTACAGTATATTGATGACCTCCTCCTAGGACATAAAACCCGAGAGAGATGTAAGAAAAACACAGAAGAGTTGCTCAGATACCTGTGCCTAAAGGGATTTAAGATGTCCTAGAAAAAGATACAGTTGTTCTGTATAGAGCTCAAACACTTAGGATTTCATCTATGTAAGGGAGAGAGGAGGTGAGGGGCAGCCAGAAGGTGGCAATACAGAGCAGGCCCAAACCCAAGACCTGGAGGCAACTGGAAGTTTTTGGGAGTGTCAGATTTGCAAAATAATAATAATTGACCAAACCTCTTTATAAAAAGAGGAGAAAAAGAACCTTTCAACTGGAAAAAAAGAACAACAAACTGCTACAGGAAAAACTTCAAGAGGTGCTAGCATTAGGCCTCCCTGACCTGAGTAAGTCACTCACTTCTAAGTGACCAAGGGAAAACAAAGACGGCTATTGGGGTACTAGTTCAGACCCTTGGCTCCTAGGAAAGGCTAGTGGCCTATTTGTTAAAACAGCTGGATGCAGTAGCACAGGCCTGGCCCCCTTGCTTGAGAGCTCTCACTGTAACTACTTTCTTGACCAAGGAGGCTGACAAGCTGACTCTGCACCAAGATTTGTGAGTGACACACAGTGGTCATTCTGATGAATGCTAAAGGCTACCATTGGCTCACTAATTCATACCTGACCCAATGTCAGAGTTCACTTTTTGGGAATTCTCACATTAGGGTGGAAGTTTCCAACAATTTAAACCCAGTCACCCTTCTCCCACAACATGAAGGACCCTGTTATGGTTTGTATCTGGATGTCTTCCTAAAGCTTTATGCAGGCGTGGAAGGTGGGCTTTTTGGAGTCAGCTGAATCTAGAGTTTGATTGGTTCATTGTTTAGTGCTGGGATTAGGAGTGTGAGTGCTACACCTCTAGGACAGATAGCCTGCATACAATATAAGGGAAGAAAAGAGACTTGCTCCTCACGCTTTGCTCTTGTTGCTTTTGCTGTCTTTCACAGCCATGAAATATTGCCCCTCTGCCACACTACCCAAAAAAGTATGAATGGGATGGCACAACTGTTTATTCAGAAAAACAACTCATGCCAGCATCCCTGGGAGATGATGTTTCATCTGAAAAGGAAAAAATTTCCAAGTCTAGATAAGCAAGTTGACATGCCTGAGACAAAGTTTTGTTTTTTTTTTTGTATCAGGGATCAAACTCATGATCTTGTGCTTGCCAGGTAGGTACTTGTGTCACTGAGCTACGACCCCAGCCCTGGGACAAAGATTTTATAACAAGGCCAAAGGAAACATAGAACAGTGTAGAAATGAAACTAAAGTCAACCTCTTAGCTTAGTTCTTGGATTTGAGTTTTGGATGGAAAAATATAACTGCCTCCATCCATTGGTCAGCTTCCAAGGGGGCTATATTGGATCTGTGGGAATGGAACATGTGTTCAGCTACCAACGATTTGGATAGGAATTAATTTTGGACACTGTAAAACCATTCTTATTTCTCCTCCTCCCAAACCATGGGGAGTTAGGGCTATCCTTGATTATCCCTTGTTGGGGAAGTGATTATAACCATATGTAAAGATGATAAACGGCCACTAGAAAAAATAATCCAAAACTATGGGCCAGCTACTTGGGCAGAGGATGGGATGTGGGGGATATCAAAATCCCATTCATATGTTAAAAATAAAATTATTAGACTACAAGCTGTACTAAAAATCATAACCAATGAAACTGCTTACATGCTGAATCTCTTAGGTAACCAACAGATGAAAATTAGAAACACAGTATATCAAAACATTAACACTAGATTACCTACTAGCTAAAAGAGGAGTTTTGGGGAGGTTCAATTTAACCAACTGTTGCCTTTAAACAGATGATCAAGGTTAGGTGATGAAATCACTGAGAGGGTACAAGAGATAGCCCTTGTACTGAGATAGCTCGGACCCCGGAATAAAATCCAAGGAAGTAAGAAACTAAGAAAATTCAGAGCAAAGGCTTTATTCCAGGCCTGGCGACTCAGCCCCCTTTGGATCAACCCAGAGACTGCGTGCCTAACAGACTAAGGGAGGGATATTTAACGCTAAAAAACTGCAAAGCTATAAAACTGTCAATTTAGTTGATAGCACACCTGCAATAACATGCGGAAAGGGGTAGGGAGTTACAAGAAGCTGAAACTTAAGCTTTTACAAGGATTAGAAACTTAACCTTATCAAGACAGTGCATACAGAACAAGACAGAGGCGCATTGGTTAGAGTTAAGCCATAACAGTACCAGTCCAGATTTGAAAAGGATAAAATTCAGGACAAATATTTGAAGGATGGGTCTCAACTGTAGGTGGTTTTAAAACCTTGTGGGGAAGATTCATGGCTTTCATGGGAATCTGCTTGATTATCCCTTGTCTGTTACCAGTAACAATGTGAGTCTTGAACTCTAGGATAAAAACTACAGCTGGGCGTGGTGGTGTATCCCTGTAACCCTAGCACTTGGCAGGCTGAGGTAGGAGGATCACTGAGAGTTCAAGGCCAGTCTGGACTACATAGTGAGTCCATGCCAGCCTGAACTACAAAGTGAGACCCTGTCAAAACAATAACAATTACAATAGCAAACAAACAAGAAAAATTACCATTGATCAAAAACAATCTCTCATATTATGTGGGTCAAAAGGTATCGATCTATAAGGCTATGTAAATATGGCTACCGATAAAACAAGACAACAAAAAAATTGATATAGGAGGTGTGACTCTTTAGTAGAGCCTCAAAGAAAGGAATAAGAGAGGAGACTACCTCCTGGGCTGAAGCTGGACAACTACGGGTTAACTATACAAGCTAAGCTGCTTTGGGAAATTGGTGTAGCTGGGCTCTCTGGAGAGATTGATGGTTCTGACCCCAGTCATGTATGGGTTTAGCTGTGAAGTAAGTATCAGTGGAGCATAGTGGATTTGGAAAGGCTTGTCTAAAGTTCCTGACTCCTGGATCACTGTTCATTTCCATTTGCCCATTGTTCTGCTTCTGTAGCTTTGCTTTGTGCTGATTTTTAAAAAAAATTGCCACATAGGATGCAAACAATATAAAACTGGAAACAGGGCTTTGTTCTAGGCTCTCATGTAGACATTAGTCATTTGAGGACTGCCTGAAATCAACTGCTCTTTGGCCTGTTACTCCATGTCTTGTTGGTTCTGTCAGAGAGCCTGTGTAATCTTCTGCTTCAGTATAAGAAACATGTAAATATGTAGAAGTATATGCAGATCTTTATACACGTAAATGCATATTATAGCCCAATTACAACATACAGTAATTGCTATGTGTCTCCTTTCCTCCCTGAAAGGCAGACCAAGAGTTTATAGTAGGATGACTACATAGGAATAATCATAGAAGCTAACATTAATTTCATGCTTAACTTCCACAAAAATCTTCTGCAAATCACGTTTATCATTGCCATTTCATAGACGTAAAAACCTAGTGTCAGAAAAAATGACAAGTTAAATTTTACAGCTAGAGGGGCTGGGGATTTAGCTCAGCGGCATAAGCACCTGCCTTGCAAGCAGGCGGTCGTGAGTTCGATCCCCTGTACCGATAAAAATGAAAAAGACAAAAAAAAATTTAAAGCTAGCAAGAAGAAATATAGTACCTATTTCTTGATTTTGAAAACAGCTTTAAAAAAAAACATATAATGCCTCCCACCTTGTACTGGGGTACAGAGAGGTAATCTACAGAGGTAATCTACCACTGAACTAGATCCCTGTACTTTATTTGAAACAGGGTTCACTAAGTTGATAGGCTCGAATTTATGATTTTCCTGCTTCAGCCTTTCAAGTAGCTGAGATACAATCATGCTGAAGGTATTTTATTTTATTGGCTTCACTAAAGTGTGTGAGATTATTAGACATTATTATTTTTTGAGACAGGGTCTCGCTATGTAGTTCAGTTTAGCCCAGGCTGACTTCGAACCTCGCCATAATTCTCCAGCCTCAGCCTCCAGATCCCTGGGCTTACAGGTGTGTATCACTACGCATTGGTACAGAGATTAGATTTTGAATTTTGGGACCTGGGTCAAAATAAGGACTGGGGTCTGCCTCCGCCCCTTGAACCACTGCAGACAACTGACCGACTCCTGGAAACTACATTTCCCAGAAGGCAGTGTGCTACTGTAGACGTATTTCCTCCCAGCGTCCCCCGCGAACGAAAAGAGCCCAGTGGGCTCGAGCCGCCAACCCTGCCAGTTTTCGTCGTTGCTTCTGTAGCTACTGCTTTTTCCTTCCCAAGAGGAGCTATCGCGGCCGCCCATCCTGGCCATCATGTCCGCCCAGGCGCAGATGCGTGCCCTGTTGGACCAGCTCATGGGCACAGCTCGGGACGGTGAGTTCGCGCGGCCGGCCAAGCCAGGGGCTGGGACGGGACTGAGGCGAGGCCGCCGGGCGGCCTGAGACAGGGGCCGCTGCCGTCTGCGCTTGCGCCGAAGGTAGGCGCTGGGCCTTTGTCTGAGCCGGTTCGCCTCTATAGCAGCAGCGGCCTGGTTCTTTCCCAGCGGCTTGTGTCGCGGGAAGTGGGGGGAGGTGCTCACCTCCCTCCGAGTCCGCGCCGCCAGCGGGACTTCAGCCCCGTCCCATTTGCTGTCTTGTAACTTCCTCCCCGTCGGTGCCGCGGCCCCGCGCCCCTCAGCGAACTGGAAAGTCGGCGAAGGGCTGGAAATCAGCGCGGGCTCCAGGTCGCCTGCGGCCGGCTGGCGGAATTCTTCCCAAGGCTCTTCGGGGAAGAAGCTACACCCGAGGGAGCCGGAGGGCCTGGAAACCCCAGGGCGTTCTTGTTCAGTACCATTACGTGGGGAGACGGAAATTGAGCTTTTCTAACGTGGGTTCCTGCCAAGTACTTATCCAGCTCCCTTTTTCCCCAGCCACACAGGAGGGCCTCTGTTTAGCCAGCTCTTAGCAGTCGTTAGGTAGGTTGTACAGTAGGCAGGAGCGCAATATGCTGGAGGTTGTCTCAGGAGAAAGTGCATCCTTACAAAACTATATACTTTCTGTGGATTGTTTTCTTTTCTACTGAAATAATGAAGTTGTAAGTTCACACTGGCACATTCTCAGGGCTGTGCAGATTCTTTGCACTTTATAGGTGAATAAGTGCTTTTAGCTTTCTTTGTATATTGAGTTGCTTTTGAATTGCTTCCCATATTTTTATTTCATACAAACTGAACAATTGTGGCCCCTCTATTTTATTTATAAAGGTTCAGTGTATCTTTGCCTGCCTACATCAATCTGCAAGGGAGTTGCAGAAAAGCCTCATGTTCATCGAGCCGTGAGTCACAACCAATTTCTAAGCTGTTATAACAAAAAAGTGTTTGCTTTTTTCACAAGTAATTTTAAAAGTGTAGTTTAGAAAGAAAACATTTTCAATAAAAAGACACTACATTAATCCTGGATGCTTGCAAATCCTAAAATATATTCCTCCTTGACTATTACACAGCTCTGTGTCCTATGCACAGATTAGCTTTAAATTTTGTCACATACCACTTTGCCTTTACTTTTATGTATCATTCCCCCTGACTTCCTTACTGCAGGTGTGGGCAAGAAAACTTTTCCTTTAAAACTTTTCAACAGCGGGCATAAAATTCTGCAGCTGAGGTCTTGAAGAATGCAGATGGGTACAGTATGTGTTGGAGCTCACAGTGTGTATTGACTAACCTAGTTCTTTTTTGCTTTTTTTGGTATTGTCTTGTTAAAAGTGACTCCTGGGTGCCAACTTTCTTTAAGGGTGGGGATTAAAGGGGTATAGAAAGAATAGGTCCAGATTATATGAGTGATAGAGTTTGAAAGCTTTCTTCATGTAATTTCAGGCAAACCACTGTCCATAACAGAATGATTTTGTTGATGGAAATTACCAGCTGTGTGTCATACATGGTGATTCATTGTACTCTGCTTAGCATGGGTTTTGGATTTCATTGCCCACATGTTTATGTTGGGTTAATGACCTTTTGGTGTTCAGCTTTTTACTTCTGATTCCATGACTTCTTTGGCACAATGGTGGAGTCACCTGTCATTGTGATTCTTCATCATATACTTAGCCTCCAAAATATCTGGATTTCACTCCAGTCGTAAATACCTTTATATCAGCTTCAGTTGTATTTCATGGGGAGAACACAGAAATGATAGACTACAAATCATCCAGGTGAATTGTTATACCAGATATCCTTTGTGGTTAATGTGATAATACTGTCTTATTTAAAACCACGAATGAATTTCAGGAGACGAAACCAGACAGAGGGTCAAGTTTACAGATGACCGTGTTTGCAAGAGTCACCTTCTGGATTGCTGCCCTCATGACATCCTGGCTGGCACGGTAGGTAGATTTGGAGGGATCTCATGGACCATATAGACTAGGTGCTTTATAAACACTGATTATTTTTCAGGTTGAATTCTGTTTCCTTTTAACATGTTTCTGCTGGCTTGAAGCACCAATGACACATGTATGACTGTCACATTGGGCTGCTTGTATCACTGGTGATACAAATAGATCTGATTACTTTCATCAGTCCTTTTTTTTTTTTTTTTTTTTTGGTGCCAGGGATTGAACTCACGACCTCGAGTTTGCCAAGCAGGTACTTATGCCGCTAAGCTAAGCCCTAAGTTTGGCCCTTCACTTTTATCAGTCTTTTTACTAATTAAATTGGTAAAATGGGATACTCACCATGCACCAATGGTGGGTCAAGCTGCCTAGCAGCAAGGTAATAGAATTATAGGGGCCAGGAATGTAGCTCAGTGGTACAGTGCCTGCCTGGCAAATGTGAGGCCCTGAGTTTAATTCCTGGTACCAAAAAAGAAAGGGGGGGGGGCGGTTATAAGAATTATGGCCCTGTCATGATTGTGTTAACAGGCAGGAGTCACCTGCTACTCTTCAGAGTATACTGTTTGGTGGAATTTTATATTATGGAACGTAGTTTAGAGGTATAAAATTCTGTCTATAGAGTTACCAGTTGTTTTTTTTCCCTCCTGCTCTAATGATTTGGTTTTTTTTTCCCCCTTTTTATCGGTATGGGGGATCGAACTCAGGACCGTCTGCTTGCAAGGCAGGTGCTTATGCCGCTGAGCTAAATCCCCAGCCCCTGCTCTAATGATTGATCCCATTTATAACCTTCCCACTGAGGTACAATCTCTAGTCCCCTCTTCCCCCCTTTTAATATGTATATATATTTTTAAAGAATAAAACAGAACAAAACAGATCGGAATAAAACAATACAAGCAACACAGGATTTCAAAACAAGACAACAGAAAATCAACAGTGGCTACCATAATGTCTTTTGTTTTCTTAAAAATAGTTGGTCCAATGACTTTTTCATCTTTTTTTGAAGCAGGATTTTATTGTGTGGTTCAAGCTGGCCTTGAATTCACTTTGTACCCCAGGCTGGTTTTGAGCTCACAGTGATTCTCCTGCCTTAGCCTTTGAAGTGCTGGAATTACAAGTGTGTGCCACAAAACCTGACTTTTTTCTTTTTTTTTTTTTAAGAGAAAAAAATAAAAACCAAGAAGCAAATCCCTTTTAAGTCTGAAATAAGATTTCACTGAGTTTCAGAGTTGCACAAGATAGCCTCCTACCTTGGCCTCCCAAGAGTGCTACGGTTATTTCCTGCTTCTTTCCGTGCTCTTTTGGATTTTTAAAAATCAATTGAAGTTGGGCATGGTGCTATATACCTGTAATCCCAATATTCCGGAGGTTGAAGCAGGAGGATCATTGTAAGTTTGAGACCAGCATGGGCTACAAATGAGGTGAAGGCTAGCCTGAGCTGCACAGCAAGACCCAGTCTCAAAAAGACTGGAAAACAAAAAAAAAAACCAGTTGGTGCCAGGTATGGTATTGCATACTCATAATGCTTTGCAGGATGCTGAGGTAGGGGTACCACAAGCTCAACATCAGTGTGGACAATTAAGATGCTGTCTCAAAATAAATGAAAAGGTATCCACCTTCCCATTCCTATTGTAGCGTAGTTCATAGCAACTCAAGTACAAAAACAGCCAAGGTACCCATCAGTGAATGAACAGATAAAGTAAATGTGATACAGGGCATAGTGATGCGTGCGTGTAATCTTAGCACTAAGAAAGCTAAGGCAGGAGAATCACTGTGCATTTGAGGCTAGCCTGGGCTACATACATAGTTCAAGGCCAGCCTAAACCACATCTTCAGACCCTATCTCTGGAAAAAAAAGACAGAAAGAAAATGTGGTATACACACATAATGAAGTTTTTTCAAGAGTAACATTAAAATACGGAGTTTCTGTTTTGTTTGTTTTGTTCTTTTGGTATCATGAATTGAACTTACAACCTTGCACTTGCCAAACGGGTATTTATGCCACAGCTAAATCCCTTCCCCTTTTTTGGTCTTTTTGAAGCAGAGGCTCCATGCAATTCAGGCTGACCTTTAACTCACTTTGTAACTAGGCTGGTCTTGAACTTGCAACAATCCTGTTGTCTCAGTCTCCTGGGTGCTGGGATCCCAGGTGTGTGCCACCATGCCTGATTGAAGAGTGAAATTTCATATGTAGTTTTCAGGAAAATGAACTTGTTAAGTGAAATAGCCCAGACTCAGGCAGACATCAGATATTTTTCATAATATGTGGAATCTAAAAAGATGATGTGAAAGTAGAAGGGAGACTTAACTAGACAGAAGGAATGGAAAAGGGGGAGGGGCTTATAAAGGGCGGTGAATTTGGTCAAAATGTTATATGCATGTATGAAAATACCACACTGAAAACCAGTATTTTGTAAAATTATGTCAGATTTTTTTTTTTTGTTTTGTCTTTTTCTTCTTTATCGATACCGGGGATCGAACTCACGACTGCCTGCTTGCAAGGCAGGTGCTTATGCCACTGAGCTAAATCCCCAGCCCCTATTTTGTAAAATTAAAATGTTCTAGTATATATTAAATAAAGATGAAACATTTGCTATATAACTCAGTAGTAGAGAACCCCTCTGTTAATCCACAGTATTGCCCCCCCCCAATCTGTTGAGGATAATTGATTTTATAGTTTAGTATTAAGTCATCCTTTTGGTAGCCCAATACAAATTGGGTGTGATGACAGTGGCATATGCCTGTAGTCTCAAAATTCTAGGAAGCTGAGGTATAAAAGAATCACAAGTTTGAGCCCAACCTAGATAGTTTACTTTAATGAAAGCCTATCTCAATGATCTCAGTGAGAAGTACCTTGGTTCAATCTTTAGTGTCTCAAAAAAAAAGGTGGTGATACTGTTCAATAGTAAAGTGCCTGTAACACCAAAAAACAAAAACTTAAAATAATAGCAATATACTATCTGGTAGCTATAGACTTGACTTCAGCTGATCAAAACATAAATACTAATTGTGTGGAACATAGTTTTATTTAAAATCAGACTAAGAAGATAGTCAGGGGGCTGGGGATTTAGCTCAGCGGCATAAGCACCTGCCTTGCAAGCAGACGGTCATGAGTTCGATCCCTGGTACCTATTAAAAAAAAAAAAAAAGACTAGTGAGGTTGGGTGGCACACACTTATAATCCCAACATTCTAGAAGCTGAGGCAGAAGGATAGCTGAGAATTTAAGGCTGACCCGAATTAACATAGCAAGATTTTTTTGTCTGCCATTCATGATGGTGCATGCTTGTAATCCCAGCACTTGTTTTTTTTTTTTTTTTTTTTTGTATTTTGTATTTTGTATTTTTACCGGTACCAGGGATTGAACTCATGACTGCCTGCTTGCAAGGCAGGCGCTTATGCCACTGAGCTAAATCCCCAGCCCCAATCCCAGCACTTGGGAAGCTGAGGCTGGGGAGTTCCAGCCCAGGGTACCTAGTGAGTTCAAGACAGTCTGAAGGTTGGGGATTTAACTCAGTGGCATAAGCGCCTGCCTTGCAAGCAGGCAGTCGTGAGTTCGATCCCTGGTACCAATAAAAAGGAAAAAGACAAAAAAAAAAAAAAAAAAAGAAAGAAAGAAAAAAACACTTAGTCTGAACTACATAGGAAGATGCTGTCTCAAGAAAAAAACCTTGTCTTAAAAAGTAAACAAAAAGGGGGCTGGGGATTTAGCTTAGCGGCATAAGCACCTGCCTTGCAAGCAGCAGTCCTGAGTTTGATCCTTGGTACTGATAAAAAAGAAAAAGACAAAAAAAAAAAAAAAGTAAACAAAAGACTAAAAAAGAAGAACATCTGGCATTTTTCAGTCCCTTGTAGAAAAAGAATTCTGTAAAGGACCACCTTTTTTTTTTTTGTTTTTTGGTGCCGGGGATCGAACTCATGACCTCGCACTTGCCAGGCAGGCACTTAAGCCACTGAGCTAAATCCCTGGCCCTAGGACCACCATTTTAAGGCTTCACAATTTAGCTACTTTGTGGAATGTAAAAGCTGTCACAGGGTCAGCACTGTCTCAGTACTTTGTGGAGGGGCTGAGGCAGGAGGATTATGAATTTGAGCCCAGCTCAGGTTGTTAAGCCATTTAACAAGACCTCTTACAAAAAATAGAAAAGATAAAAATACTATAAAGAGCTAGAGATTAGCTCTGTGTGAAGACCCTAGGTTTAATCTTTATTGTATCCTCCCCTCTCAGATTTGCTGTCCACTCTAACTAAGGGCAAATGTGCATTCTTTATGGTAACTCAAGAGTTTTTTATTATTACTGTTTGAGGGGATACATCTGTTGTGCTGGGGGGGGGCTGCCATAGGATTTTGCTACTATGTAGCCCAAGATGACCTTGAATTCCTGATCTTTGGGTCTCAGCCTCCTAAGTGCTGGGATTAGAGATGAGAAAATAAGCACTTTTTTTTTTTTTTTTTTGGTCTGTTTTTTTTTTGAGACGGGGTCTCGCTATGCAGTTCAGGCTGGCCTCACTTTGTAGCCCAGGCTGGTCTGGAACTCGCAGAGATCCTCCCACCTCAGCCTCCCTGAATGTTGGGATTACAGGCGTGCTCCACCACGCCGGGTTTTTATCATGCACCTTCTAAACTGCTCTGATGTGTTCTTTCAGGCTGGTATGTCTGACAGCATGTTTGCTAGACTTGAACTTCTGTTGAGTACTAGATGCGTTTTGATTCAAGGTTGGAAAATATAAGCTACGGTTTGCTGCAGATTGTTAGAGGTATTTTTTTTTGTGTGTGTGTGTGTGTTTTTTTTTTGTCTTTTTCATTTTTATCGGTACCAGGGATCGAACTCATGACCGCCTGCTTGCAAGGCAGGTGCTTATGCCGCTGAGCTAAATCCCCAGCCCCAATTAGAGGTATTGAGATGAGCACACATTAATGATTACAATAAGAGATTTCCACTTATCATAAATAGTGTAGCTTGTAGGGTCCTTTCTTCTTTTTTTCTTTCTTTTTTTT